ATCTCTAAGATGATAATGTGTAATCTATTAACTGGTGATTTCTTCCTGGTTTTTTTTTTTTTTGTAGTTCTGTATTACTTGTACCCTTACACTGCTTTGTTTTGTTTTGTTTTTTCTTTTTCCTTTTGAATAAAATTTAAAAAAAAGAAAAAATAAATAAAAAAATAAAAACCAGCTATGAACTATCTGTAGAAGTAATTATTTTGAGCAAAATAAAATTTTAAAATTTTAAATAAAATTTAAAAAAAAGAAAAAAATAAATAAAAAAATAAAACATCAGCTATGAACTATCTGTAGAAGTAATTATATTGAGCAAAATACTATTTTTCAAAGATGGCCACCATCAAATCTCCCATCCCACATGATCTTATGAATTTATTTCTCCAATCTACTGAGTGTGGGTTGGCCTAACTGCTTTGACCAATAGCATGTATCAGAGAACTAATGCAATATCAATTCAAGGCATGATCCTTAAATGGCCTGGCCATGAACTTTCCAACACTGGTAGACGCTCATGTTTGGGGATACATCCTCTTCAAACCTTGATTCCATGCTGTGAGATAATGAAGCCATATGGGGAGGCTACCTACAGCACTCTGGTTGATATGCTTAGCTAAGCTCCCAGGAAACAGCCAGCTTTTCTGAATGCCAAGTAAATAGGCCTTCTTAAACCTCCAGTCATCGGGTCCTAGGTAACTGTAGCCTGGCTGACACTGTACTACAACTGCAAAGAAGACCCCAGTTGAAAGCTCTCCACTGACAGTTTATTAACTCACAGAACAACTGCACAGAAGACCCAGACAGAGAACCTCTGGTAAACTCAAGTCATAGGACTATGACAATTAATAATAAAATACTGTTTAGGTTGCTAAATTTTGGACAGTTTGTTACAGCAGCAATAGGTAACAGAAACATTACCTGTAATAATGACCAAACTGACTTAGACTTTATTTGTAAGTGTGTAAGGTCATAACAGGACATTTTACACTAAAAAAACCTAGAAATACAGGCAGCATCAATACTCAGGCAGAGATAGGTTGGGTAAATCCACGTAGCCAAATTTGATTTCTACTCTGTAGGCTACAGGAACAAAACTATGCTTCATCTATGTCTTTCAGAGTATTGCTGAACCTAGTTTTCTAAAACCCACAAAAGTACCTAACAATACAATGAAAATAAATGCTTCAAAGAGCAATGCTATTAATATGCACAGGTACCCAACTGTGGCTTAATTTGTTGGAGATCAGGGAGGAAGAAAACAACGTACTATCAGAGGTTAGAAGGTCACAGGAAAAGGGATCATTAATTACATGACTCATTTGAGCTTCTGTACAGGAGTTCTAACAGACTAACTAAGCATCATTTTGGAGCCACATCATTTAAAAAATCACATTACGTGGTCTGCACTGAGGGGATGTCAAAAATAAATGGAGTCTATTGTGTGTGCCACCTTAAATATCAAGTAAGTGGTTTTATCTTTCTTCCACATTGACCATAGAAAAGAATAGTTATAAAATGTGTAAGGTATAAAGAATGATATAATAAATGCCTATATACCTACCACCTAATCAAAAAGAGAGATACTTTGATTATTCTGGAATCTCCTGTGTGCCCCTCCATGACCCAAACCCTCCCCACTCTTTACTCGGAAGCCATAATCACTCTGCAATTTATGCTTGACATCTTATTTCTTTTTAAGAAATTCATTTTGCCACATTGACATTCTTAAAAACACATTGTTTAGGCTTGCCCAATTGGGAACTCAAAATTGGTGAAATTATACTGTTAACATTTTTCAACTTGCATTTTCTTCCTATGAGCAGATATAGCCCATTGTTTTTCATTGCTGTACAGTTTGGCTGGATTTTCAGAACTGACTTATACTCTCTAACCTGGTCCATATTCACTGTAGTTCAGCCACTAATTTTCACCAAGTGGAAAATAAACTTTCAAGTCAGGAAGTACTTGCTTCTTAGACCTCTCAACTCCATATAGGTTAAGCATCTCAAAGCTGAACACCTAAATGCTCCAAAATTCAAAAAGGTTGCAGTGTCATGTTTGTACTCAAAAAGTTTCAGATTTCATAAATCAGAGACGTGGAAACATCACATTGCCTCCTTGATGTGAGAAACTGAAAGAGTAAATAAGGACCAAAAAGTACAATAGATACTATGAATTAGGAAGAAATTGTTCAAAATGGAAGAGGGACTAGGGTATGGGAAGGGGGTTAAGGAAGGGAAAAGGGAAAAGTGATTTTAAAAAGGACAAAATAGAAACCAAGCTTTGTAAATAGGGAGGGGAAGAAAAGGTACAGAGAAGAAAGGGGACTGAGAAAAAAGAGGAATTGAAATATATCATGTACAGGTATAAATTCCTTATGATGAATATGATCATTATGTATATCTACAACGTACCAATAAACTTAATTTTAAAGAAAGTTTCAGATTTCACACTATCAGAACAGGGATCTTCAACTATTACTCTATGTAAACATTCCTAAATCTGAAAAAATTACAAAACGTGAGACATTTCTGGTCTCAAGCAGCCTGAATGGACTAAGACAGATGCACAATGAGCACCTGCTGATTAACAAGAAATCAAGACAGTCTCCACCCTAAGGCAGTGTAGCAAGAGATGGACCAGTGAACATAAAATGCTGATACAGCACAATGTGGCACGCATCAATGCAGCCTTCCCTCTCAATTCATGCAGGACTCTGCTCAAACGTCACCTCCTCAAACATCACCTCCTTTCCTGACCCTTTACCTAGCTACTTCCCATCCTCTGTTATCTGCTCTGTTCTAATTTTTCAGCATGACATTTATACTACCTGATGTTGCACTTGTTGTTTACTGTCACACAAGCTCCATAGAGGCAGGGACATATGCCATATTCATCATTGTATTCTTTTTTTTTTTGTCTTTCTGTTTTTATCGGTACCAGGGATGGAACTCATGACTGCCTGCTTGCAAGGCAGGGGTTTATGCCACTGAGCTAAATCCCCAGACCCTATCATTGTATTCTTATCCCAGAAGAGTGCTGCATATACAGCAGGTGACATACAAGTATTTTTGAGGGAATAAACACTGGAGATAAGGATGTGATACTATGTGAGCAGAGAAAAAGGAGGCAAACTCAGTTTGGGCTGGTTCTAGAGTGTGTGCCAACTGAGCTGAGGCCTGGAGAATGCCAGCCCTTTGTACTGTTCTCCACCATGTACCTGGCTCCTTCCCACCTCACTTTAGGTTTTTTAAAGTGAAGGCTGTTCTATTCATTTTGGAATTCTCTGAGGCATTTGGAACAGCAACTTGCATTCAGTTATATTGCAAATATTTGAAGAATCCACTATGTGCCTATCATTTTAGAGAGTAAAATAGTGTTTTCTCTAAATTGAACTGCATAGAAAGTCTTGGATTCTATTCCAGTCTCTTTGACTGTAGAAGGCTTTTGGATAAAATAGTTACAGAAATACAATCTTTAAGATTTTCAACTTCAAAGAAAACAGCCCAGAGCCAATTGTGATCCTGCCTCCAAGAACTTAATTCTGGTTTCTACAGAAGGCAAGAATTCCCTTGTTTATCTAGTGAAATTTACAGAAACAATGATAAAACTTGCAAGTTATTATCTGTGTAGACATAACTAGTCAATATCAGGGAAAAGAGAAAATAAAAGCTGGAAAAGTTGCAGTTTTCTATTAATGTAAATATCTCAAAGGCATACCAGAATAGGGGTATGTGTACAAAAGCTGAAAAGGCTCAGAAATAATACCATATTAGGCATTACTAACTACTAAGTCCTGGCCTTGAAGACAAAAGATGAAACCATCACTTAAATGCCTTCCTGGGCAACAAGGTAATTGTACTTCTAGAGGAAAGTCAGTGTTAGTGATACACCTTACTGTTTAGATGGTAACTATAAGGAGATTAGAAAAATAAGACAAAATATTAGTCAAATCATCCCAAGATATCATTTTAAATAAATATATTATTTTAGAGACAATGAGAAGATGAGAGTAAAGAGCTAACATAATTATTTCAACAATGTTGCAAGAGAGGAATCCCATAACCACAGACAAGCAAAACTATCATAGTAAGGATGCCAGGAACTACAAAAACAAATAAAAATTTTAATACATGTTATTAATTCACTTATTCGCCATGGAAGGGCACTCCTTATAGGGGGCAGAAACGCCAGTAACAGGTATCACTATGCCTATAAAAACCACAGTGACCTCTGATAAAACCCTGAACATTCTGTTAGAATAAAACATTAGAAATAATAGCTGGTATCATCTTGAACTATTTTTAAAAAATTCCCAAGTGTTCGTTAAATTTATCTTACATTCTCTGAACTAAACTGATGCACCAAACATGATTTATTGTATATGATCCACAGTATATAAAAAAAACTTTGCTGTTTTCTCAAAATAATTAAATTCTACTTTACATCTTCACTACTTCTAAAGATATTTCCACTGTGCACCTGGATTGAGTTATTCTTGTCATTTACTTCTGGTACTAGGGATTGAACTCAATGCCCTCTCATTGAAATACATCTCTAAGTTGCTAAATTGCCCAAATGGACATGAATTTGTGATCCTCCTCAGACCTCCCAGAGTTCTGGGAATACAGGTGTATGCAATCATGTCCAGCTTTACCACTAGTAAAAAATCTTCAGGGTTTAAGATAGAGGCCCCAGAGCTATTGTAAATTTGCTTTTTGTTAGGTTGTATCCTTCCTAAGAAAAGATTTGGCTTATTAAAAAAACATTATTACTGATCATGGCTGACAGGTTATTATTGTCTCCCTGCTAAAGAGACAAACAATGACCCATTATTTATCCAAAAGATACAGTCAATGTCAGAATTTCTCCTGCTCACCAATTCTGCTTGCTCATGGCTTACAGGGAACCAGGAGTTACAATTTTGGATGGCACCAAGCCCAAACAAACTAGCTCTCAATCATGAGACAAGAAATCTGGCAAAAAGGAGAGATGCTTACTTGGATATCACAGGAGAAGATGACCTCTTAGAAATGACTCCAGGAAGCTCACATCTTCTCAGTGGGGATCCAAGGCTCCCAGCAGGAATAGAAGTTGTCACTCGTTGTCCCCTCTTCACTTTCTCCATCTGTAGGGCAAACAGAATAGGGTAGTCACAGCCCATGACTGGTGGTACTACTATAATTTCTAACAAGTCCCAGATGGAAGTGATATACAGCTTTAAGAGGGATCAAGACAAAGCTATAAAGTTTCACATGATGGGAAAATTTGTACAGAGACACCATGGAGTCACCACATTTAGGGCATCTAGCAAAAACAGTAACAATTTTTCATTATTCTCTTCCTTGTTATATTACCCGAAACTAACAACAGGATTATAGTAATGGACATAAGGGAACTGGAAAGAATACAAAGATACATGCTCACTACAAAATATAACAGGTATGTAAGAATGTGGTTATAACACTCAAGGCAGCAAGCTGTGGACCATGATAGCACAATGGCACATATTAATTGATATCCGTCTTTAAAGGTAGAGGTTAAAGGGGACTGTAACCCATCCACTTTTCTATCAGCAGAAGGGAGAAGGGAACAGACATCAGTGTCTGGCCTGCAAAAAGTGCTCCACAAGAATAAGTTCTCTTCTTTCCTTATTACACTTTTCTGTAACAAATTCTCATTTGGACCCCACATCCACAAATTTTAGCCTCTTTCCATAATAATTCATCCTACAGAAAAATCCAAGATTTAGAAACATGTCTTTTAAGACTCTCAGGGCCACAGCAAATATGAACAGAAAGTATGTTATAGAATGCCCATCAGAGCTGGAGATACAGCTTGGTGTTAGAGTGCTTCCCTAGAATTAGTGAGGCTCTGGGTTTTATGCCCCTGTCATGGTTTATGTCTGTGTCCCCCAGGCCTCATGAGTTTGCACTGTTCATTTGTGATGGTTCATTGTATAGTGCTTGGATTGATAGAGTCAGTGCTCCACCCACATAGGGGTGGAGCCAGGATGTGATGTAATGGCAGGAAGAAGATGTGTCTTGCTTTTTGCTGGTTCCTGTTTGCTGTTGGCGGCCGCCATGAACTGCGGCCCAGCCATGCCTGCCTGCCTTGGAGCCAAATGAGTATGGACTGAAACCTCCAAAAACTGTAAGAAATAAATCTTTCCTTTCCCAACTTGGGCTTCAGGTATTTTGTCTCGGCAACGAGTAAAAAGTAACTAAGACAGCCCCCCAAAAAGCCCAATAGTAAATTAATGTAGTTTTAAGGTAAGTTCACATATTAATTGATATCCCTTCAAAGGTAAAGGTTAAAATCCTCTCTGAGAGTAGACTGATCTTAGTAACTTAGTTTTTGATGAATAGTATGTGGCACAAGAGACAAGCTGGGTGTAAAAGGCATTGCAGTTTTCCTCTTGTGCTCTCTTTTGAATTGCTTACCCTGGAAGAAGCCACCTGTTGTGTTATGTGGATACTCAAGCAGCTTCAGAGAGCTCTCCATAACAAGGAGTTGAGGCTTCTTGGCAATAATATATGATGAATGACTCAGAAGAGGTCCAATCCAGCTTTCAGATATAGTAGCCCTACCTAGCATCTTGATTACATCCTCATGTGATACCCAGTATCAGAACCATTTAGCTAACACTGAATTTCAGATCTAAAAACCCCATGAGATAAGAAATATTTGTTTTAAGCTGGCAAGGTTTGGAGTAATTTACTTTGTAGCAAATGATAAAATAAGTAGTATGGCATATATAATTTCTAAATAAATACACAAAATTGGTTGTACCTGTTCAATACGTATTTTACTGATAGTATCAGTAATGACATCAAAAATATTTTAAGGCTACTGTTATGGGTGGTGGTTGACCTTAGAACTTCAGTTTTAGTTATCTAAATAGGAAAGACTTTCCCAGAATCTGATATTCCTAAAGAAGCAGAGCAAAGACACTTAAAACCCTCCATCTGACTCCTGTCCTTTGGAGGGCAGGATATAATAAAGATGTCATTAGGAAATTTCTAAAAGCACTAAGATTTAAGGGTATGCAAAAAGTTAAATGATTTGTAAAGGTTGGGTAAAATTTTAAACTAAATCTGCCCCTTGAGCAGTCACTGGAGACTGACACAAATGTAGACCCCAGGTCAAGTGCAGGAAGTAATCACAGTCCACAGAAGTGAATGGGTTTAAACCTACCGGAGAGGCCTCTGCTCCTACGGGGGCTCCTTTCTCAGCATCTCCTACACCAGATGTAAGTGTTGCCTTCTTCCTCTCAATGGTTCTTGTGGGAGAAGACTTGAACGAAGATTTAAGGGAACCAGCAGGAGCTGCATAAAGACAGGCATGGATACTAGAGAGTTACAGTACAACAGCCAAAGAAGACAGGAATTGCAGATGGAAAAAGCAGGTAGACAGGAAGCTGGAAATAACACCAGATTTCTAGTAAAATTTAACACAGACATCCATTTTTAAATTACTTTTTCTATTGTTGGATAGATAAAAAGACTCCCAGACTCAAGAGTCCAGCTCACTTCGTAAGTTAAGAGTCTGTGCTCTGGAGTTGGACAGATCTTACACTGCCACCTAATAGCAGGATCACCTTAGACAAGTCACTTAACTTCTCTAAATCTCAATTTCCTTATACAGTTAACCCAGGTGACATGACCACTGTCCTTGAAAGAGCCTGTTTACAAGGTTGGTCAAGATTTCAGGAAGGTTCTCGCTATTAACTGGTGAATACTTAAAACTGATTCTATACATAATGCTATACATTTAGGTGCCTGGAACTTGGTGTGTGGCTGGCAGGGGGTGCCTAACATGACCACCTCAGTCAAAACTCTTGAGTGCTGTCTCTAAAGAAAGTTCTGAGATGTCAATATTTCACACTGACATATCAAGTATCACACACTGTCATACTTTCTGGGGGTACTAAGTACATTCTGTGTGACTCATTAAGAGAGGACCCTTGAAAACTTATGCTTGGTTTTCTTTGCATTTCTTTCCATGCACCTCTTCCCTTTGCTACTTGTGTGCATCTTACTGTAGTAAAACATAATCATGAGTACAACTATGCTGAATCCTCTGAGTACTCCTTTCTCCTGGTGAATCATCAAACCCAGGAGAGGTCTAGGCAGCCTCATAATTTGGAATCACTAGAATGACCCTTATTCACTGAAATGTGGTAAAAGAATTGCTTGAGAAAAGGCAGGAAAAAGGGGCAAAGGATGATGAACGTATGCTGTATGGGTAACTATGCAATCATTAATGGTATGAATCAGCAGCCAAGTTGCTGTCTGTTTTGAGGGGTGAAAGTTGCCTATGGAATCTGAAGATAACCATGACAGAGGTGGCTTGACGGATCCCCTGGGTGCTTTTGGCTGTGCTAAAAGTGGAGGAAAATGTGCAACTGAGGTATCCCTTTAGGTTTGTTTGCTCTTTCAAGTGGAAGTCAGAAACAACCTTCTTGATTTTTTTTTTTTTTTGGTACTGGAAATCGAACTTAGGACCTTGCGCATGCCAGGCAGGTGCTTATGCTGCTGAGTTACATCCCTGGCAACCTTTCTCTTTTTTGTAATCAGTAGAAGGAGTAAGTCTCTGTAACTGGGGATTTTTATCTAATGGAGATGCTGCAAAAGGGGAGATGTGAAAATATTTTCTCAGTCATCCCTGTTCTCATCCCTATTGAAGACAAAATCATGTTTATAATTATTTAGGTATTGGGGCTTGAATCCAGGGCCTTCACACTGAACTACATTCCCAGTCCAGACAGAGATACACAGTACTTTGGAGTTTTAAAAATCAACTTATACAAATATAGAACATTTTTCCAAGGGGGGTCCTACTCTGGAAACATCCTAGATAATGCTGGACCATCTGGGTGTCACACAAGTACTGACAGGGATTGTTCTCTAATGGGACCATTCAAAAATCAAGCTGCTCCTTGGCTCTATATTTCTGATGCAGAGCCTGATGCATTCCCAATTTGTGATCCTGTAAAAAGCTGCAGGTTGGGGAAGGTTGGCAATGTGATCCTTTAGCTACTCCTGACAAACTGCACTCCATCCCTTCTAGAGGATGTGTCACTGCTGTTGTTTTGTGTTTGATTTTCCAACATAGTTTCAGTTTATAACAATGGACTGACAACCTGACTCCACTCACCTCTGTAAAATAACTTGTTAAATACAGTTATAAAGGGAAGGTACTGATCTTTTTTAGACTGCTCACTGGATAAACGACCAAGAAAAAAAGGATCAAAGGTGATATAAACCTACTTTAAAAATTTAGGATTTTGTCCTAATGCTTAAACATGTGTCTTTTTGATTGAGTTGAAAAAAAGGACTTTTTTAGCCAGGTGCTGTGGTGCATGCTTATGATCCCAGGATTTTGGGAGGCTGAGGTTGGAGAATCCCAAGTTTGAGTCCAACCTTGGTAATTTTGCAACTTGGTAAGATCCTGTCTCAAAATAAAAATGCCAGGGTTATAGCTCAGTGGCATAAGCACCTGCTCAGCAAGCACAAGGTCCTGAGTTTGATTTCCAGCAACAGCAGCAATAAAATTAATATTAATTAAAAACATAAAAGGCTGGGGAATATAACTCCATTTCAAGGCCTTGGGTTACAGCCCCAATACTAAAAAAAAAGATTGCAGAAATCATTTTGTCTTTAAGGATTGGAGTAGGGATGATTGAGAAAACATAAAGTGTTGTTTGCTAAAAAGGACGTGAAGAAATATATTAAACTCAAGCAACTGGTAGGGGGTGGTATACAGGGGACACTGTTACAAAGATCTTTGTTATCTTTGTTATCTTCTTCCAGAAGAAAAATTCCCTGTGCTGTCTTTATGAGCTGCTATGAGCACTGATTGCTGAACCTAGACGGCACATAATAGCACAACTCAGCAAGAGTGGGCCAGCTCCTTCAAGATCTCTGCAAAATACCTCTAGATAGCATCCATACTTGCCAGGTGAATGAACTAGTTAAGGACTGACAGCCTCAGGCAGCCACTCTGGATCCAAGGGCTCAACTAAATTAACACTGGACTGAGAAACCTGGAGTAAGACACATCACAGTGGGAAATCACAGTGGGAGGCCACTGTAGAGGTCACTTGCCCAGCAGCATATTAGCTCATTATACCCTAACATCATCAGCTTTTGCTCTCCAGTGAACCATGCAAGCACTAGGGGATTGTACTTCATATGTGTGTGCCCTATCATGACATTGCCTTAGCCCTAGAAGATATTCAGGTCATCTTCAATTTACTGATCAGAGTTGTTCAGGGCCTAGGTAAAAAAGATTAATAAAGAACTAACAAAGGAGGCCACTTGGCTACCTAAAGTAGATCCTTCTGGTTAACGGGATTTGCTTTAGCTGCTAAGTCCAGGATTCTTAAAGGGCATAAGTGAGATCAATATTATAGGTTGGTATCATCCTGCTGTTTGGGGTCTTACCTGTAATTCTTCTGTAAAGAAACTTCGACAGTGTGTCATGGGGGTGGACAGTGCAGGAAAGGAGTTAAAAATAGGAAACGTCACTACTGTCCTCAGAAGGGACTATATACAAGGTTGGCCCTTGGCCAGCATCTAGGGACTCCAATTTTGGCAGGCTTATCACTGTTAACTGACAAGTGGCTCACTGTGCCTAAAAACAATATGAATACCTGGTGTGCTGAATACCTGGTTTCATCCTGCAAGTCTGGAGTTTGGGTATGTGCTCAGTGAGGGCAGCATGACTAGTCCATAGTAAAAACTGTCGGTACTGAGTCTCTAAAAGGGGTCCCTTGTTTGGCAACATTTCACACATGCTGTCATAATTCACTAATGGAAGAAATGAGTCCCACATGACACCCCTAGAAGGACTCGGCAAACTTGTGCCTCACCTCCCCTGGACTTCATCCTCCTTGCTGATTTGGTTGTCTATCTTTTCAATGTAATAAGTCAAAGATGAGCGTGCCTAGAGGCTAAGTCCTCTTAGTAAATCACAGATCCTAGGCTTAGCCTTAAGGATCCATGAAACATTCCTCATTCTCAAAATGTAGATACTTCCTATTTGCCAAATATTTTTTGTCTGAGATAGGATTAATATATCATCAAATTCTCCATTAAAGAAGTGTCCAAATGAATGTTTTTAGTATACTTACAAGATTGTACAACTATAGTCACAGTCTAATTCCAAAACATTTTCAAAGAAACCTTTATTCACTAAGCAGCCATCCCTCTTTCTTCCTTCAGCTAATACTTGATAAGCATTAATCTACTTTTTATTTCTATGGATTGCCTATTGTGAATATTTCATATAAGAAGAATCATAATTTGTAGTTTTTTGTATGTGCCTTCCTTAACTAAGCATAATGTTTTTGAGGTTCATCCATCTTGCAGCACCATCAGTATTCCATTCCTTTTTATAGCTGAATAGTATTCAACTTTACAGATATACCATATTTTGTTTATCTACTCACTAGGTGATGGACATTTGAATTGCTTCCATTTTGTGGCTACTATGAATAATGTTGCAAAAAATTTGTAGACTAGTGTTTGTGTAAATATATGCTTTTAATTTCCTTGGTTTTATAACTAGGGCAATAATTACTGAATCATGTAACTTCATGCTTAACATTTTTAAGGAACCCCCAGCCTGTATTCCAGAAAGATGCACTTCTTTTACATCCTCACCAGCAATATGTGATTGGTCCAATTTCTACATATTTTCAATCAACATGTGTTATTTTCCCTCTTAAACGGTTTTAGCTGTGCTAGTGGGTGGGAAGTGGTAGCCTATTGTGATTTTGAGTTGTATTTCCCTTATGAGTAGTGATGATGAATGAGCATCTTGTATCATGACTATGGGCTTTTTCTATATTTTCTTTATAGAAATACAACTATTTGGAAGCAGCTACAACTAGGTAGGCATGTAACGTCATTTACAGGTTATTTCACTGAATACTCTATATTGGGAATGGATACCCGATGCTGCTCTTCTGCAAATAAAAGAACACCAGTAACTCAATAACTCTATATGAATTATTAACTTTGATAAGATGGTTTGATAACTTCGATATGATGGTTTGATAGTCTGGTCCAGTGTTCGTCAGACTTTAATGTTCAAATTAGGTGAGGTCTGAGAACCAGCCCTCCTACAAAGCTCCCAGACGATGCTACTTTGTGCCAATCATTGTGCTACCTTATTTACACCATCATCTCATTTAATCCTCATGATAATTTAAAACAACTCCATTTTATAGATGAGCAAACAGGCTTAGAGAAGTTAATTCACTTACCTAAAATACTAAGAGCTGGTGAGTACCAGAACTGGTTATAGGACCCCAAGATACTATGGTCTACAGGCTACTTTGCCAAACCATCTCTAAAGAAAAGTCTAGTAACCACCACAGTTCGTCAAGTGGATTTTTTTCTCTAATGTACATGCTCTCAGTAATTACATAATTTACTTACCTCTGTGACACTTAAATTTTGCCACAGCAAAACACTGGTGGATTAAAATTGTTACTAACCATTGAAGACACTTCACAAAGCCAGCAAATGGGAAGCAAAATACAAAAATTCAGGAATAAATCTCAGGTTGACCAACATCACTTTAGGGATTTTTTCCTCAGTGTCACCAGCTTGGCCTCTTTTACCTGAGTCACTGGCCTGCTCAGAGAATATGAATGTACTTCTGCTTCTGGCTAAAGAAGCCTGTGTGGGTGTCAACAGTCGCATAACAAGAAAGCTTTCCGTGGGACTAAGGTGTGTGCGATGAGCTGAGGGATGGAATCAAATAAAAAGTTTTAAAAGCAAAATTAAAATAAAACAAAATAAAATGCTTAAACAACACAGTACATGATGCAAATTAATTTCTGGGTGACTGAACAAATATAGAAAATAAAAATATTCTAACAAAAATGGTTTTGTAGCTTGCCATCATCAAATGAAACAAATAGTGGACCATTTAGAATTTGGGAGAGGGTGCATTAATTCTTTTGGTTGTGCCAGAATTCATTCACTATGTTATATATAGTGACCTGCCTCACTCAAGAGAATTAGTCCACCTCCCAAGGTGTTAGCATGGACTCATTTACTCACCAAGTAGCTCTAACATTGAAAAAAAGGACTATACCTCTAAAAATTCATTTTAGATTCTCTGTTAAGAAGTATTTAATGACATTGATTTTTAAAAATAAAATTTCATCCTATCATAGTTTAAAATAGGTCCTTTCATACTTTTCCCTGTAAATAAGGGAAAAACAAAACAAAAACTAAAATAATAACAGCCAACTGACTATTGGCCTAATGAAAGATAACAAGATTCATAATCTAAAATTAAATGACTAAAATATTTTGATAGAAACGTATTTATATACCAATGAACACAAGAATTATTTTCTATTCTTTGGATGCTTATTGACTAATGAATGGTTTGGGGATTAAACTTTCGTAATTTATAATCTACAAGCAGAAAATTCAGTTTTCCAGAATATATAGTAACATACATTACATGCTTACATATTACACAATGCAAAAAACTGATTTAACATCAATCTGGAACCATAAGAATTAATGAAAACATATAGATTACATTCAGTAATGGAACAGCTACATAAAGATGGTGTAGATCTTTTCTTGTTTAACTCTTGATTCCTTCCACGTTCCTGGAATTTTCCCACAAACTGCAGCATTCTGACACTTACAGGGACTCTGACACACATGCTATGCCTCTAAGATGAAGGGGGAGATCAATGCCAGAGAACAACTAGGAAGAAATATCAGTCCCTTCCAAGTCACAAAAATCTTCCTGCTGAGCCCTTGGGGATGACTTGACATGGTAAATAGTCTATTGGCATCTGACTCCTTCAGTGTTTCAGCGATGCATTAAAATATACATTTATCACATGGAGAGTCTCCCTTCCTTAACCTTCATACTGTGAAAGGTATAAATTCAGGATTCCAATGACTCCTCTGAGCCTTCATTAAAATACGGATAGCATTAAATCTATGCAGATTCTAGAACCTGCATGTGTCCTATATGTCATCTTCCAACTCAAAACAATACCTGAAAAGACTGTTTATCTTTTCCTCTTTTAGGGGTCTTGTATTACTTCTGTGTATCTGTTCTCATCTATGAAATGGACAGGTCTATAAGCCATGTAGGACTACAGAAACCTGCATTTTTTCACAAATCAAGTCTCCCACGTAACTCTGACTCATCAGTTTTGCTCCTTCTGGCTAATCAATTGCATCCCATCATTGATAGACAAGTGTTTTCTTTCAACTCCTAAATATGTACTGTAAAAAGGCAGTTTTTTTCAGACTGGGAGAAATTGATTCCTGTCCCTATTCAACAACAACTTGCATCTAGGGCAGTGGTGGTAAACCTATGGCACATGTGCCACAGGAGGCTATTTGTTTCACTGAAAGCTCTAAAAGGTTTGCCATCAATGATCTAGGGTAAGGCCACTCTTCACAGTACCATTAGCAAGGCCATGCAGTATCTACATTCAGATCATAAGGGTAGGACAGTGATGCATTTACAGAAAGCTCAAGAAGGTGCTCTTGAGAAGGCCAATGTTAAAATGCCCACACCAGAAAAAAGCACACTGGATAGTATCAGGTTCGAAAGTTTAGGCATCAGCTGAGAAGATAATGAGATTCATTATAACGCCCATTCTCGTTGACTTTTATCTACTTTTGAAGACCTACAATGTCTCCAATGTTTTGGTTTTGTCGGTTTTGTTCTTTACTATTTTGTTCAATTGTATTATAACTAATGATATAGGCAATTCTATTAGAGATAGCGGGAGGCATTATGGTAATCATTGTTGATCACCTTGTATTATGTTTTTATATTATCTATTATGTCCACCCTTTTGACTTGACCGATTCTGTTCTGTTATGTCTCATTTGGTTTTACTCTCTTCCAAAAAAGCAATAAGAACCGTGGGAGCAATGAAACCCAAAATGTGTAATAGTCATTGTACAAAAGAGAGGAAAAGAAAGTGCTCTAAACTATATAACTGCATGTATATTTAAGTGTATAAGATAGAAAATGATATCACAGAGTTTTATTGGATCATTGAACAGAACTGTTTGCAGTATCATCGTTGGAATGTCCACTCTACAAGCTTTAATTTTGTGACTTGAACAATTATTTCTAAGATGCCAATATGTAATCCATTAACTAGTGATTTCCTACTGTTCATTTTTTTCTTCTGCAAATCTGTATAACTTGTACCCTTTCACTTTTTTAAAATTTTCTCCTTAAATTTAAAAAAAAAAAAAAAAAAAAAAAAAAGCACACTGGAAAGACCAAGTTAACATGTTCACTTGCCTCGGTCTGGAGAATAGGATATTGCCACAGTAGATGAAGACAGGCGCTTACTCATAGGAGGCTCTCGCTGCTTTGGCAAATTCATGGTTGATGTTGAAAGTTTGTCACCTGCTACCGAGAAATGCATTAAAGACACTGGTATTCAACCACTGTAGACCAAGAAACACATATCCCAAAGTCTCTTTCCTGTCCTCATCCACATACCTCTTATACTGCTGTGGCACAGTACACTGTGCTTCCATTATGTTTGTATCTCCTTATCCTAATCTAGAAATGTCCAGGCTACAGCAGCCATTGGCCTGAAATATTTTTATTGTGTTCTTCTTTTAAACTTCAAATATTCAACCATATTCAAATTTTCAATTAAATCTATGCTAATTCCATATAATTATCTTGTGTTCAGGGATTTTTAAAGGTATTAACATACACAAAACCAAAATCAACCTGGATCCAGAGACAAATTCCTACTGAAAACAATCTATGCTCTGATCGAAATTGTGTGTGGTGAAACTGAACTTTTCTGGAATGTTATCTGTGACTGAGGTTGGAGAAAAATGTAATTTGTATTTCATCTTTTTTTTTCTTTGTTTGTTTTTTGTCTTTTTAAAACAGGATCTCACTATGCAGTTCAAGCTGGTCTTGAACTCACTTTGTGGCCCAGGTTGTCCTCAAACTCGAAGTGTTTGCCTCAGATCCCCTAGTGCTGGGATTACAGGTGTGTGCTTAAAATGAAATTTGTAAAGCAAGGAGCTGTATTTAAAGTGAAATAACCTTTAGCAATTGGTTTTCTTATTCTCATTAAGAGATGGAGTCAAAGTGGCCCTTCACAAATGCTTTAGTGGGTTAAGGTTTTAACATGTAACTCTAGGTTTCACATTCTCATATTCCAGTCGTTATTTCAAGTGTTTTCTAAATTAAATCATTGTGGCCAAAACAAAGAATCAAACTTATCAGTGAGGTTTTCAAAAGCTAACTCTTTTGCTCATCCTGTTTTCAAATGACAGAACTGTCATGTCTGATAATTTGTGTTGACCAAAAGGCATTTTTAAAGTTAAATTCAAAGTCTAATAAATTTGGATTGGAGATATGTCAAACATTTAAACTTGAAATGATGTTCCAATAGTTCCAGTTTAAAATTTTTCACTATTTTAAAACTGCCTTAATGTTCTGGGAATACATGTAACCATTAAAAATGACATAAAACCATATATATGTGTGGATATACATTTTCTCTTTTGCCTAGGCTTTGCTATTAGTATGGCACTGATCTTTAGAAATTCAGTATTTTGTTTGCAATGAGCTGTTTTATTATTAATTTTGATTCTGACAATATTCTATTAAGAATATTTTATCTTTACTACTGAGATTTTTGGCATCCACTTAAATTATGTGTCCAGGTCAGGTATCAAGCTCACATTATCAAAGCCCCAGGTACTGATTTCCAGTTAATGATTAATCTACTTTATTTGTACCCCTCTGTAAGGAAAGGCCACTGCCCACACCATTAGGTAGTAACTCAACTTGTGCAGCAAAATCTGTGCACTACCAATAAAAATATTCATTGTCAATGGAATGCCAAAAACCAAGGACATTTGTTCCTACTGCAAAAATGATCTTTCATATTGCTGGTAAATGTTGCATCCCCTTTCTGTCTTGTTTTATTTTTGCCAGGGCTGAATTTCTAAAGTTGTTATTAAATGGGAAATTTTTACTAGTTTTATTCTTGACCTAGACCATAAGAATTTTCCATGTTTGAATCCACAACAGCATTTCAGACAAACACAAAGCTTAGCACAAAGCTAAGTAATTTCTATATGGATTTTCAGTGTTAATGCAGATAAACTCCCTACCACTTTCTCTCAGACATTTTCCCCCAGAATCCAATCACATTAACACTAAGCCCAAGTATTGCATTCAAAACTCTGTATGAATTTGTTCAGAAGTGTTTGAAATGCACTACTACTAAATGCTTAAAACAGATGATTAATGAGATTGCTAAAAATCTACATGCACAAGAGCACTGACAAAGATTTGGAAGGTAGAATGTAGTGAGCTGAAGATGAAATGCTTCCAGCACATTAAAATATGACACGCAGAGCTGTATGATGACAGAGGAACAAAGGAATATGAGCATGTCATTTACATCTCTAGAAAAAAGTTATAACAAATCAGACCAAGAAATCAATTGTGAAAGTGCCTGAAACAGACATGGTGATGGAAGGTGATCCAAACAATTACCACAAAATGCTATGGCACAGTGATACTTAGATATACCATTGGTGGACTCAGCAGCAGCGGAAGTGGTCCCTGCATCCGGAGGGACGGTGCTGGTTGCTAAACCTAAAGGGGGTGGGGTATTTTCTGATTCACCTATACAGCAAAAAATCAGAGCAAAGAGAGGTAAAATAAAAAAGTCTCACTTTGTTATTGTATTCGAGTTTCTACTTAAGAAATTAGAAAAGTAACAAATGGGTCACTGACTTCTCAAAAAACAACAAAAAAAAATTAAAGTATGTTCGTTGACAAAAGGTTGAAAATACAATCCAGCAAAGTGAAGAACTATACTATGTTTTCTTTCAGAAAGCAAATTACACAACTCCTGCATTAATGGAATGCTGAGAACTGAAGTGACACTGAAATAGTGTGACACTGAAAAGAGGGAAAGTCACCTTGAGACTAATGATCCATATATTAAACATTAGAAAATTTAAAGATGCGTATGAACTAGATAATGGAATAAGTCACTTTGAAACAAAATAGAAAGAGCAACAAAAATTCAGCCCTTCTTAGAGACAATAGCTGTTCTGCCTTTCCCAGTCACAGTCACATCTGGAACAATGACTGAGCCTCCTGCATTTTCCTTTCTCTGAAATCAGATTACTCTGGACCTTCCCGCTGAGTTTGGCTAACCAGGTTTTGCATTGATTTTCTTTGCCTTTCTTTTGCTCTCAAAGCTCAGTTATATCAACTGCTGCCTGCCAACAAGAATGCCCACCTCCCCTTCAGGAGAAGTATGTCGATAGAAAGCTAAGCTGATTCAAACATGACCTCTGAAAAGGGTACCTATAAGGCTATGCTCAGAATCCCCAATATCCTCCATACACCCTGCTGTGTCCATGGCCCCCACGCCGGGGCCCTGCAAAGAAGGGACAGTCCTTTACTCACCATCACGTCCTCCAGTCCCTGCAGCCAGTGATGCTCCCCAGGAACACTTCTTCTTCAGCTCCAGCTGCTGCGTGCGCTCCAGGGACCTGCGCATCATGGCCTCTAGCCGTTCCTGCCCAATTCATGCAAAGCGCTGGTGTCAACAGAGGATGTGATCAATCACCCAGCTCCACTGCACTACTCCCTTGGTGCTCTCTGGGTGAGTCACCAAATGGGGATTTCTGGGCTCAGCATTCCAAACCCAGGCGCTGTCACACCAGCCAGGTTCTTGGTGGGTGGAGAATAAACACTGCAGCTAGGCAAGTGCTGGCTCTGCTCTCCAACCAAAGGCTGTATTCTGCCCTCCAGGGAGAAACTGCTGTGTGCCACCCCTTGATTTAAGAATAATGCCCCAAAAGCATTAACTCCTTGAAGCCTGCCTCAAGCCCCATTTTGTTCTATCCTGCAGAAGGACTGAGAGTTTGGCTTCACGATCAACTGCAGTATTTCTAATTTTAAGGATAAAACTATCTGCTTTTAGAAAATTTAAATTAAGTTGTAATTTTTGTTTTTATATCCTTAAATATAGTGTTTTAAGGTCTTATATAGCTTTGAGATGTATTTTACAAAGCCCTATTTTCACCTTAAAACTTCTTAAAGGAGAATCAATTATTCTACATTACAACATTTTTCTACAAAAATACTCTAGGGATAATAATGCATAGTTCAACCTTTAAAAGAGACAAGAACACACACACTTCAAGCCACAAAATAAAGCATTCATGCATTCCCAGAATTAGGGAAGTTTGGGGTAAGGGAAGGAATAAGCAATTTTTAACTACAAAAGAAAAACAACCAGCAAGCTTCTTTCTTAAAAGAAGAGAAGCACTCTCCTATAATAAAAAAGCTTACTTTCATGAAGCTGTCCTTGACACTGGAGTGAGGGCAGTCTAATTCTGTACCCCCTACCGCCTCAATGACACTGCAAATACTAGCTCCTCTCCCTGCCTCCACCCTAGAAGGACCAAAACATTAAACCCAATTTGGATGTGTTTCGGCAACTGGGCTAAATATTTTCTGACTCTACATCATAAAGATACATGCTATTTTCTCACTGTCGAATAAAACAGAATCATACAAAAATAATTAAGGACAGTACAACTTGAGTAACCATGACTTAAACATCAGAAAAGGGCTCCTTTATTTCACTTACTGGAAACACACAAAAGCTACTCAGCAGGTACCTGGATTTATCCCTTTTGTCTGCACCGGAGAGATGAGATTTTTTTGTGCAAATTTCAGCCTTCTCTGTATAACACTTTGCTAACTTTTGCTGGGAGACTCTCCAGGGACCTTTAAGCAGAGAGGAGGATATATTTTTCCTCCTGAAAGATTCCTGTTTATACTTGTTATAAATTATAGTTTAGTTTGGGGCCAGCAAATCAATGATCATGAGTATGCATTTCTGGCCTGTTCTATCTATCTTCATGACCCCCTGTCACTAAATTCTGATACCAAACACTGGCGGTCTGCCAGATAAAAACTGGGGCTTGGAAGGGAACAGATTCTCCTCTACCACTTGATGCCAGAAATTAGGGTCACCTGAGATGAGCTGAATGGCATTTCATTATATGATTTTAACATAAAGTATTTAACCAATGACCTAAATTAAGCATTGGAACATTTCACCCTAGGATGAATTGAGCTTTGGATGGTTTATGGTAGATTTCCTATATGCCAGACAAACATCACAAGATAGTACCTTATCAGATCAATGGAACAGAATAGAGGATGCAGAAACAACCTCAAGCAATTCAATTCTTTGACCTTTCACAAAGGGGCTAAAACACACTGGAGGAAAGACAGCTTGTTTATGGTGCTGGAAGAACTGGCTATCTACAAACACAAGATTGACTCTATATCCATAGCTCTAATAATGCACTAAACTAAAATCAAAATGAATCAGAGAACTAAATGCTAAAAGAGAAACACTCAAGTTGGAGGATAAAATAAGTAGAACTCTTAAAATCACAGGCATAGGTAAGTTCTTTCTGAACACAAACACAGGTCACAGGAAATAGTGCCAAAAATCAACAAACAGGATCATATCAAATTAAACAGTTTCTGTTCAATAAAAGAAACAACCACAAAGTGAAAAGAAAAAACTACAGAGTGGGAGAAATTTTGCTAGCAACTCTTCAAGCAGGACTATTATCTAGAGTATATAAAAGACTCAAAAATTAGAACCCCAAAATAAAGACCCAATTTAAGAAATGGGCAAGTGAAATGAATAGACACTTCACAGAAGAGATACAAATGACCAATAAATACAGGAAGAAAGCTCAACATCATTATCCATTAGAATAAAGCAAATTAACACTGAGATTCCATCTTACCCAAGAAACATGGCCATCATTAAGAAATCAAATAACACATGTTGGCAAGGCTCCAGGGGAAAAAAGAATCCTTCTACATTTTTGGTGACAGTGTAAACTAGTACAACCACTATAGAAATCAATATGGAGTGTCCTAAAAAAACTAAAATTAGAAATTCCATTTAATCCAGCTATTATTCTTCTAGGTATCTTCTTGAAAGTCTTACAGACATCATGTTATAGTGATAGATGCATACCCATGTTTATAGCAGCATTATTCAAAATAGCTAAATATTAGAAGTGAATAAAGAAAATGTGGTATTTATATACAACTGAGTACCACTTTGACATAAAGATAAGCTTGAATTATTTGTAAGAAATGGGATGCATCTTGAGACCATAATGTTATATGAAACAAATTAAACACACAAGCTTAAATATCACATGGTTTCTCTTATATGAGAAATCCAAAGTACAAATAAAGAGCAAAATAAAAGAGAAATAGTAAGAAGTAGGGAGACAGACCTTTCTCCCATGGGAAAGGGAACAAGAGATGGAGGGAGGGGACAGAGAGAGGAGGAAAATGTAATTAATATGTGTTCGGTACACGTACCAACTCCACACAAAGAATGTAAACATTATGTATTGCATACGTGTACTAATAAAAAAGAAAAATGATAGTCCCTCATTTAGCAGAGGCCCAGTAAGAACAAAAACCTGAATCTCACTGAGAAGTCTATCAATGAACAGCTGCCTAGGGGACAAAGACATAATTACATGGTAATAATGATCACCTAAAGCAGACCTACCCCTGGACTGTTTGATTACCTTAAAAAAACAAAAACTGCCCATGGGATCCACCCTCAATCCACTGAGCTGCTCCAAATTCCACCACTGGAGATTTGATACTTTGGACTTTGAATAGGTTTATGAAAATGTAGGTACACACACACACACACACACACACACACACACACACACACACCCCGCCCAGAGAAAGACACAGGTAGTATGAAGAAAACAGGTAGTTACCAAATTCTAGAAGAAGGGGACTTCTGGAACCCAAGGAAGTCAAAATGGGGTGACTTCAACATTCCAAAAACAAAATTTTTTCATTGTGCCCTTGTCCTACACCGGTAGGTATTACCTGATGTTTGTACTTTCTGTTCCTTCATGTAATGAAATGTAAAGAATCCCTAGATCTGTAGTCAAGAGGTAAGGATGCAAATCCTACCTTTACCTATCACATTTTAGCCCTGTGACCCTGAGTTAATTATTTTGCATTCTCAGGCTTTAATTTCCTCACTTATAAAATGATGATATTACCTAAATTATCAGATACATAACTCTAATTCTACAAAGTTAATAGCCTAGAACCTGAGGTGATAAGTTCTTTACCAATGGCTAACTGCCTCTGATTTTGAAGTGAAGGATAATTAAGAGGACAGTTTATAACAGTGGTTCTCAAATTTGAGTGTGGATACTATGGAACTGCCTTTAGGATTTGTTAAAACACAGACTGTTGGGATTTATCACCAGGGTTTTGAGTAAATCCAGGGTGAAGCCTGCTGAGAATTTGCATTTCTAATGAGTTTCCAGGTGCTGATGGTACTGGAGCCATACTGTGAGAGTCACTGGTTAGAGGAAAGGCTGAGCATGAGAAAGCAAAGAAAAGAAACTGTCGCATCAGAAAAACAGTATTAATAAATATTAGGACTGCATACTTCAGTTCCTGCCAAATTTTCAAACTCCTGAGTATCATCTGATGATCAACAGAGGATGGGAAAGATAAAGACAAATTTTTGTCCCTAGAATATCTTTTTACTGGGTGGGACTTAGGAAGGAAGTGATAAGGAAGGTTTTACTCTTGACCCTTTGTGCTCTGGCTCTAGATCTCACTTAAAGAACCTGGAGAATCACGATCAAGATGAGCCACTGAGCTGGCCAAGCAGTACAAAAGTCCTCTAGCTGACAAGGCCCAGACATTGTTACCCAGACATCAGTGTTTGGCAGGAGGTGGAGTTTGTCTTTTCCACCACTTTTACTATATGGGAATGACATTGCAGGTATGAGCTTCCAAGCGTTCTCAGCAGGGCTCTAAAGGGGACCTTTTCCTTCAGAAAAAGACCTCTACATCTGGCCAAGTGGTCAGCATGCTGCTTCACCCAGCTAAAGGCCACCGAGAGCAATCAGCCTTCAGCTGAGTAAAGTTTTCTTTAGGTGAATTCAGAAATTTGTTTGATACCCAAGTTGGTGACTTTTGTTAGCTATCAAGCAATGACAGTATAAACAGTTTAAATGCATTAAACTAATTTAAATAAATGAAGCTACTCTTTTAAAGAGACTTTTCTTGGTTATTTTTAACACAAGAACACAGAGTGGCCTTCTCTAAATCTCACCTTCTAGGGCCACTAGTCAGGAAGCTACATTCCCAAATGGAGAATGGATTGTCAGCCATAAATTAGGCAACAGGAGCTTGTTCCAACAGATGATTCTGAAATTCTGTAGCATGTGACCATTGTAAGAACCCATCTCAAGGAGAAGGTGACCTCCAGCAAGATAATTACTTCAATGTCACTGTTTCAAGTGGATACTGAACTCCTTCATCCCCAGGATGGGCTTGACACTAGCCACCACTACTGTCAATCCTTGAGAGCCTTGGGAATGAGACTTCTTTGCCTTGCAGATGAAGGAACGTCATGTCAGATGTTTTTGGTCCTGATGCAGCTGTCTTCAGTGGTTTCACTTCTAGATAATTTTGTATTTTCTTCTGTCCTTTCTTGTATCTCTAATGCAGTGTTTATGGGAGGGATGTGATGAGATACCAAACCACTTCTGCCTTGGCACATATGTGAAGAGATACCAAAAATGTCTTCATGACAACCATAGGGACATGAAGCGAGAGCAGGACAGGGTGAAGGGTCAACAGGTCTCATAGGATCTCCCGAGTATCAGACCTAGAGAGGTAGGACTTGGGCAATGACAACAATTTCCAACAAGCTAGAGAACAAAATAAGACGCACAAGATAAACAATCTTCCCACTGAAGCTTTTTCCTGGTTGACAGTGACAAAAAGTACTTAAATCTGACACTAAGAAGAGAACCAAGAATCTCCAAGGTCAGGCACTGAGCATGAAGTAGCCCTGGCAAGCTCTCCAAGAACCATGTGAGTGCTGAGGGATTTCTTTGGAGAGGGGCTTCTGCAGTGCACTCACACCTCCCTAAAGATCAACCAGGAAAATGCACTAACACCAATGTGGTTAACTGGCTGGTTTGGAGGTGGCAAGTCCCTAAGCTACATCTTGGTCTCCTGGGGCACTGAGGTTGGGAGCAGGTGGCAGAGGAAGATTGTTTTGTATCCTTTGGTTACTACACAATCTTGGGAAGCCCAACTTTCAACCAAATTATGCCCTTCCCTGTCCTGCTGTGCCATGCCATGTCTAGAAAGAAGAAAAAAGCAAGCTCAGTTTGTGTTAATACCAACAAGGCTAAGGCAGCATACCCACCCCTGGTTTGCCATATTAGGGGGGCAAGAAAGCATAGAAGCAAATAGAAAATTATCTGGAAGTAAAACCACCCAGGATTCAGCTGCAGTAGGACCATCTGGCATCACATTTCCTCATTTGCAAGAAGAGTGGTCTGATTGCTTAGTTTAACATGCCTCCAGACTTAATGTTCTATAATGGAAAATTATACACAGCAATTATCTCAGAAGTGGACCCTTGTGACATGGCAGGATGTGTCCGAGTGTTAGAAGCATCTAATGTGGCACTTTATAGTACTGTTTCCTGGAAGCAGTAGTGACAAACTTTCTCCTGAATCAGCAATTTCACAAGATGTCAAGAATCAAAATGGAGAGGGCAGGAAGGACGGGAACAAGTTTAAGTTATTAAGAAATGGAGTATGGGAAGAAAACGATGAGTCCAGTGACTCATGAGAAATACACAGGCTGAGAAAAGAGAAATCTGCCCTAAGTTACTGAATCAGCTCTCACACTGTGATTATTTTTAAAAAAAATAGTCTATAGGCTCTGTGTCACAATCACTTCTAGGTAGCTTCCTCTTAACCTTGCTTCAGTCAAGGTCAGCTGAAGTAACTGGAGGAAACCTTCCATTTCTGAGTGACTACTCTGTGCTAGGTTCTTTGCTAAGCATTTCTGCGAAAGTCACCTCCTTTAATTCCTGTAAGCATCTCTGTTTTGGGGCTCAGGAGACAAGATAGTGGGATTATGTGACTTGCCCCTGGTACCACCTGCTTAGGGGTAGAAACAGGATTTTAACTGAGAGCAGATGAAGTCACAGCTAGCAATAATAAGCTATGGCTAAGAGCCTTGCTTAGACCTTAATTCATTAAAAGGGACAAAAAATAGCCATAAACAGTTGTTTTGTAGACAAAGATTGGTCAAATTGTGTGTGTTTATGTGAATGTTCATGTGTGTGTTTTAAATTAAAAAAGAGGAAGGGATAAATATATACAATACTAAACATTCGGAGATCTTACAAAATTTATACAAAAGTCTTTATATCCTATAGTGCTAGAGATTAACAAATGGCTATATTGTTCATAATAAAAGATGAGTCATTATATCTTATGAATAAAAAATGATTATTACCTGATACAAAGCTATGCTTACATCCTTAAAATATACTTAAGAAAATCTATAACCCAAATATGCTTTCTAAATACATTCTTTAATTTTGTATTAAAGTATTCCATAGGGATAATTGCATTTCACTTCTTTTTTTAAAGGTAACTGGAAAGAAAGGATGATTAAAGCAAGGAACTACATTAATATTTAAGTATACTAGCATCTTTGTATTTTAAGTAGACTAATCTTGGAGCAGTGAATAACAGTATCATGTTATTCTCAACCTCACAGCTTATACTCCATCCTTGTATCTGCCCTGGCAGTAGAGATTTGTGCTGTAACATTCAGGTCTGTATTGCCCAGCCTCTATCCCCAATCCCCTGTGAGCCTTACTTTAGTCAGAAAAGATTATGTCTAGAAAGTACCTTGGAGAGCACCAAAATCTAACTACTCACTGCAGAGACAACCAAATTAAGTTCCAGGGAAGCCAACCAACTTGCTCCATCGTACAGCAAAGTAGCATCTGAGTTAAAAGGCAAAGTCTTTTTTCCTATGCCAGTGGTACTTTCTCCTGGACTGTCAATGTTGAAAGGAGGCATGGTGAGCAGGTCTCTCCTGTACTCCTGAAATGGGCAGGCTGTCTACAAATGCTAAGCACCATGCTGAGCTAGCTGGAATTGGGAGAGGCTCCTAGGACCTCACCTCTTCCTCCCGGAGTTTCTGTTTCCTCTTCTCTTCCACAGCAGCCCTCTTCTGGTCCTCCCGCTGCCGCTGTTCTTCCAGTTTTCGCCAACGCTCCTCAATTTGCTTTTCATACTGAAGCTTGGCTCTTTTCTGTTTCTCCAGAATCTGCTTTTCCCGTGCAGCTGGAAAGGGAAAGTGGAATAGAGGTGTTCTCCCAGAGCACTACATATGGTTTAGTTTAAGACCAAAAACACAGAAGAGTGGAGACCAAACAGAGTCAGGTGAGATCCTAGGATGCAGTGATTGAGATCAAGTACTGTGGAACCTCTTACACTAGCTGGGTGACCCTGGGCATATTAAACATGTAGTAGCTCTACCTTGGTTTCCTCCTCTGTAAAGTCGGGGATAGTCATGTTTACTGTAACACAACACAGTGAACTAAATAAGGTAATGCACATAAAGTACACACACACCAAGTAACCCTACATACAGGAGCTAGGACTATCACTACTATTGTGAAGTCAAACTTTGTATTCAAACTATACATCAACTTGAGAAATTGTAGGTTTAAGAAGACATTTTTTCTAAAGCATGTTAACAGTGCATGCACCAAGCATCAGAAACTGACATGGATAAAGGGTTAAAATACATTACTAAGACTGAATATTCCACTAAGACATTTACTAAGAGGCCTTTAATTACACATTACAAAAGGTTCCCTGGAGGAGATGCCACCTTAGCTGCTCACTAGGTGCCAAGCAAAGATCTGAAAGCACCTTGTTTTTTCTTGATACAATGCACAATCATTACCTACCTACCTCATGGCATCCTTGGAGAACACTCTGTAGTATTTATATGTCTATGTCCTTTCTTCATTGGGCCATCCCATTCTAAAACGATTTAAGTGCTGATTTTCTCAGTTCTCCCAAGGATGGTCCTTCTAGATGCTCAAAATGGAAGCTGAGTGAGTGCACACAGCAGAAACCTAAAGGTATCAGGACTTCCCAAGGTCTCATTTGCTGCACCATCATGTCTGCAGCCCCTACCATAATCGCTACAAGACAGCATCAGGGTTTGCTAAGTAAGTGAACTGTTCAGCAAATTACGCAATGTTTGTTAACATGCCAGTAGTCCTGTCGTCAGTTTACTCTCAATTCTTCATTTTAAACTAGTAATTTTCCTAGTTCTCTTCCTATTCATTCACAGATTTCTAAGGACATATAGAAGATACTGCCCCATATCTCCACTTTCTTGGGCCCAAACAGCCAAAGTGTACAACTTACCCAGACATTTTTCTCTTTCTTCTCGTCTCTCTTTGGCTAGTCTTTGCCTCTCATCTGATTTTAAAAACCCATCCATACCTACAGAAGAGAAAACATGATGATATTTAGTTTTTTACCCTGTCTCTATTTGCTGAGCACTAGAGGCAATTGGGCATACATCCTGGGTCTGGCTACCCACATGTCAACCATTGCTGTCACTTATCTAAAAGAAATCCAATCTATCACTCCCCACATATGCAGCCAGGCCCCAACAGCTGAAGGGCAACAGCCAAGGCTCCCACATGCATCTACAAAGTGATATAGAGCTTTCTTGTCCTCTGACCCCAGGCCTGACCCTGGAGGAATCAGAAAGTATAATAAGTGACAGAGAGGCCTGGTAGTATGCAGAGAAACTTGCCAGGCCTCTTCTAGAGTTCCCAGGCCTGAGACAGGGCCATTTGGGGGAGAATAAAAACACAAAAGTGGATGTGATTTTCAATATAGTCTATTATACAGATAGTGAACATTTTACTTTCTCAAAGGAACCATCTGCTGAAGGACACACACAAGCTTTCAGGAGAGGGGCTCTTTGGGGCGCCTGTGACATTCAACACTTACATTTGATTTAAGTTCTGCCAAGTTTGTGCTGATGTCAATTTAGTACCTCAGAACCAAAGGACAAAGGCTATAACATGATCCTGTTCATTTGTCATTCAAATATCCACAACAAATAAGAGAACAAATGACAGCTCTCCCAGAAATGTCCAGGACATATCTCTGGAGCCATGCATTTATACTTAACCCTAATGGGCTTTCTAAATTAAAGACTAAATGGATCCCTACAGTTGTTTTAAAGCTAGAAATAGGGCTGGGGATTTAGCTCAGTGGCATAAGCACCTGCCTTGCAACGCATGGTACTGAGTTCAATCCCCAGCACCAAAAAATTTTTAAAAATTAAAAAATTAAATAAAAATAAAACTAGAAATAATGTACTGCATTCTGTTACAACTTGCTGTTCATGAGTATTAGCTACATAATGCTGAAGCACATCCTTCGAAAGAAATCGGCTTTAGTGCTAGTAAACTACGTTCACATTCCCAGTGCCTGGGCCTTCCTCTCTGGGTGCATCATACTGGCTTCACAGGATTCCTTGCTGCCATGGCAACCTGTGGTCTTTCTAGGGAGGATCTTGCCAGCTAGTATCCAGGAGACCCAAAAGCCTGGCCTGCGGTACAGGCAGTGGGAATGTGGATAGTGGATGATGTGACTCTGAATTATCATGATTCCCCCCACAGGTTTCTGGCTTTATAGGCTGAATTATGTCCTAGGGATACTAATGCTCAAGAGAAAAGTACTGGAAAATCAACCTTGGACTACAAGCACCATCCTCCATGCTTCTTCAGCCAATTCATAATTATTTTGAGGCCACTGACAACATGAATTTAAAGGCCGATTACTCAGCTCATTCGAGGTCCCCCATAAGCTAACTCTAAACTCTCTTCCCAACTTGACAGCACCACTGGCCTTTCTCCCACATACCCTCTGTCTTGCACTACCCCTTCTTCCATGCCTCCTTTACCTCCTGTTAAAACCCCACAGTTCTCCAGAACTATGATATCCAGTGCCGCTATACAGTTTATTAAACCTGTATTTGATTTTTCCTTTCCTGCACAAATAACTGTAACTCAGTCTCCCCTGGTAGGCCCCAGAGCCATGTGTGACTGACATACCCTCGGGGCTGATCGGCTCCAGCTTTACAGACTCTTCCCCGGTAGTTCCGAGATATACCCACAATGCTCCAAAGGTGGGCATGAAGTTAATGGCAGGGGAACAGGGAGCAAAAAATCAGGTTTTAACTACCTTGATCTCAAGACTTTCATTATTAAGAATTTGTTCTGTGTGAAAAACTACTAAAGAAAAGCCTGGGGCTCCTGAACAGGTGCTTCCCTCAGCACCCACACCAACTAAACTGCCCTTGCCACTTTCTCGGCAGTAAACGGTCTGCCCCAGATCTAAGGTAACCCTGAGAACTTCTGAGAGTGCTCTTCAAACAAAAAAGCAAAGAAAAACAGAGAAGAAAAAGGGCCAAACACATCAAACTGCCCACATCACCTTAAAGTTTTATAAACAGGCTGGTTGTTCCATGGACACACACAGTCTTACGCTGCCCCCTTGTGGGCACATTCACGAGTCACACCTTCAAATCATTTCCACTCCTGAAAAATCTTCATTATCATGCTTTTATAGTCATCACCACCAGCACAAGAGAGGTGATAAGCAGTTACTATGGACCAAGTGCACTGCTCAAATTTACCAGGCCCAACTACCTATGATGGTAAATGTACTAGTATAATCCTCTCCCTGTAAGTGCAGAAACAGGCACAGAGAGGTTAATTAACTTCCCAGGTTGGAAGTAGAAAAAGATTCCAAATAAGAACTTGGCTCTAAAACGCACACTCTTAATTACTGCCTTGCAAATGTCATACCTTTATCTTAGCACTGTGACTCAGTGATGTACAGAGGGAACAAACTCTATCCTGGTACCAAGGGTGAGCTTGCAAATCTGTGGAGCAGAAGTGTGAGTCTAACCCATTAGAGATGTGGTTGTGAGTCAAGCTCTGCTGGGTACAGATAGATATGACAACTGTTCAAGTTAAGATAGTTAGGTTTCCTCCTCAAACGGATCACTGGTTCAATGAAAATGTATGTTCAGCAATATTTTAGACACTGATACTGGGTGGGGAATGGGGGTAGCCAGAGGACCCTGAGGACATCTGTAGGCCTCTCTTCACTTCAGGTTTGCCACACTGCAGTGGGGTAGAGTGACTCAAACAGGATGATGGGGGTTACCTGAAATCTCTGTGCTGTCCATTTGGCAGCCACAAGCCACATATGGCTTTCGGAATTTAAAATAAAGTAAGAACAACTTCACTTCCTCAGTCACAATGCACATATTTCAGCACTAAACAGCCACATGTGGCTGGTGGCTATTTGAACTGCATAGAGCTGAATGAAATGCCTAGCAGTTCACCCCTGTCATTCTCCCCCTTCATGGTTAGCTGTTCTGAGGCAGATGTGGAAAATGAAAATCTGACTTCAGTCAGAGTTTGTTTTTTTGGGGGGGGGGTAAGGTTGAGGTGGGGCATCCTCCCTTACTCTATACAGTATGTGTCAAGCAGATAGTTTAACAGCATCTCAAAGAGAAGAGCCATATAATTAACCCACATATCTAGCTTTGACCCTCTATCAATCCCCCAGAGGCTGCTGAAAAGCATTCTAGGCTCATTCCAAGGCAAGGAGGGATGAAGCGCAAACCAGATGGCATGGACTTGATCAGTTGTTACCTCTACCACAACATAGCCAGATTTAAGCTAGCAGAACTCTGGCAGATTATCATGAACACCAACACCAGGAGATGTCTTTTAAAGACATAACATAATCATGTGTGGATATGGAATTGAGTTCTAAAAGATGTGCAGCCTAAAATTTGAGTTTTAATTTTCCTGCCCAAGCATTCTTTATCCCACATGCCTTACATGTGTACATTTACTGGTTTACTCTTTATTTAAACCAGGACCCAATTTTACCTTTAAACCTCATGAAAACAGGTAAGAGAACAGATTCCTGCTAGCCAGGGGTTGAGGAATCAGGGGCAGAAGTGGGTACCTATAAAAGACATCCTGAGAAGTCTCTATAGTAATGGAAATGTCCTCAATCTTGCCTATATCAACTGCAACACCTTGGATGTGATACTACTGCAAGGTTTTGTAAGATACTACCATGGAAGGAAAGTAGGTATACAGTACATGGGATTTACTGGTAGTATTTTGTTTTGTTTTTGAGATAGAATCTTGTCATATATTCCAGATTGGCCTTGAACCTATTATGTAACCCAGGATGGCCTGTAATTTGTGGTCTTGTCTTAGCTGCTCTAGTGTTGGGATTACATGTACAGACCACCATGCCTGGTTCTCTGTACTATTTCTTGTGCCTACATGCAAATCAACAATGACCTCAAAATACCAAAGATTAATTATATAGAAAACAACTTTGGCCCAAGGTGAAAGCTCTTGGAGGGACCAAAAGACAAAAAGGGATTAGGGGAGACTCTAGCTGAGGGCCCCTCATGTCAAAGTCATCACTACCCTACTGTTGATGCAATCATGTTTCCCAGGATAACAGCATTCAGGTAAATGTACACCTCTGGTACAGAAGCCTTTTCCTAGGCAACTCATCATTATGGGAAATTAAAAACAGGGATTCTGAGTAGCCAAACAACAATTTTATGTTAACAGAACTATATAATTTCTTATACTTTACTGATTTGCTCTTGGTTGGAGTAACTTCCTGTTATCCTTGGGCTGCAGCACATTTTTTAAAAACTAATTTTAAAATGAATTTTATTAGCCCGAATCACTTTATTAGAATATTAATGAGCTGATATTAGTCAATTATTTATAGCAGTGGTAAGAACCATTATTATTTTTCCACGTAATCTAGGTTTTTTTATTTTAAAGAGAACAAAAGAAAACAGAATGAAACAAAGCAAATCAGAACAGGAAAATGCAAGCAACATACCACTTCACAACAAAACAACTGGACATCAACAGTAGCTAACATCATGTCTCATTTCTTTGAAACAGTTGAGCATACCTTCACACACAATAATATCAAACACAACAATATAGTAAAAAAATTCAAAAGAATGAAAGCATTACAGGACTTCAAAACCAACAGGAAATGAACAATGGCTGCTGTAATACCACATTTTGCTCAAAAATTTGTCTATAACATCACACTTAATAAAATCAAATAAAGCATAACAGGATACAACCAATCAAAACAGAAGAACAAAAGCATGGTAGGTCTTCAAAACAAGATGATAGTAAATCAGCAATACCTACTATAATGTCTTGTTTTATTCAAAATAGCGTTCATACCATCTCACATAATAAAATCAAACAAAATAAAATCAGACCAATGAATTAAAGCATTGTAAGACTTCAAAACAATAGGAAACCATGATTACCATAAGATTTCCTATTATATTCAAAATAGCTGCCCTTATCATCTGAAAGCATAAAATCTAACAAAAGATA